ATCCCATTGGCAGAACCGGGAGGCTTTTCCTTCCTCCCCCTTTTTCTCCCAGCTCCTTGGATATCTATTTTTCCCTTTTTTTTTTTTTTTTTTTTTCCCCCTCTTCTCTCCCTCCTCTGGAGGGTGTTTGCTATTTCCGAGCTGGCTGGGAGGATCCCAGTCGCATCAGCCGCAGGCAGCGACGCGGCACCGCCGGGTACCACCGCGATCCCACCGGCATCCTCCGTCCTTCCCGCCTGGATCAGCCCCGCCGGGGCTCCCTGTCCTGCCGCCCCTTCCATTCTCTCACCCTGCCGCTCCACCGGCATCCCACCGCGTCCCGGCAGCCCCCCGGCACGGCCAGGTAAGGGCCCCACCGGCACCGGGACACCCGGAGCAGCCGCCAGATCCCGGTGGCGTCGGGACAACATCCCGATGGCATCGCTGAGGGATGCCCGGGGGGCACAGGGATATGGGGGGCAGGCGGGGCGTGGGGCCATGGAAGGCTTGCTGAGGGCTTTTTGAGGGGCACGGGGTGTTGGGGACACGGGGACGCGGTGACACGATCCGGCTGGAGCAATCCCGGTGCGGAATTCCTGCGCCACCACCGGGCACGGGAATGGGGCAGCGAGGTGGCACCTTGTCCCCAGCGCGGTGACCTTCTGCCGTGCCCGAGGGTTTGGCGGGGGGGCGGATTTGTTGGGTGACACCCTGCTTGGGGTGGCTCGGGGGTGTTGAGTGGGGCTGGGGGTGACCCCCGGCTCTGCGCAGATGGAGGGGGGGGGACGCTGGGTGGCCGTGGGTGGCCGTGGGTGGCCGAGTGACAGGGACACTCACGGATGAGCCCGGCGTGGGTGGCCGTGGGCACGCGGGGAGCGGGGGGCTCTGGGTACATCGGGCACGGCTGCCCCCGCACCAATCCGGGGGTACCGGGGCGCAGGGTGGGGGGCACCCACCCCCTCAACCCCCTCTGCGCATCACCCCCTTCCCGCGTCACGGGTGTCACCGCGTGTCCCCCACCCCTCAGAGCGGCTCCCTGGGGGGGCGCAGCGAAGGGGGGGAAACTGAGGCACGGGCCAGGGCAAAAAGGCGGATCCAGCTTTTCCAGTGCCCGCGTCCAACCCTCCCCTCTCTCCCAGCACTCCCTCGGCTCCCCTTGTTTTTCTTTCCCCACCCCGGGTGTTGAGCAAACCCCGAAACACCCGCTGGCGTCGCGCCGGGGCCCCGCGGCACCCGGGGGAGCGGCCGGGGCCCCCGCACCCGACCGGGCTTGTTCCCCGGCGTCCCGCTGCCTGCTCCTGCCTGCGCGCTGCCTATTCCTGGCTGCCGGCCGCTTTTCCACCCCCCCGGTGCCATCTGCTCCGCCGCGGGGGGAGCGGCCCCGGCAGCTGCCGACGTGGGCAGCTCGGGGGGCTGCTCGGCACCCCCCCAAAACCCGCGCCGTGCCCGCAGGAGCTCAGCCCCTCCGGCCATGGAGCTGCTCTCCACCCCCAAGAACATCGAGATCAACAACATCACCTGCGACTCCTTCCGCATCTCCTGGGCCATGGAGAAGGGGGACCTGGAGAGGGTCACTCACTACTTCATCGACCTCAACAAGAAGGAGAACAAGAATTCCAACAAGTTCAAACACCGGGTGAGCCCGGAGCGGGGGGCGGGGGGGATGTGGGACCCCCTGTCCGGGGTGAGGAGATGGGGTTGGTGAGAGGGAACTGGCTTTTAACCCACTCCCACGCTGACTGGGGTCATTCCCCACTCTGGACACGCTGGTGGAGGGCACTGGGATGGGGATCAGGGGGTGACGGACCCCCTTCCCAAGCCCCCGCGGGGGAGCACAGCCACAAACCTCTCCCGCTCCCCCTCCCCGTGCTGCGAGTCACTAATTCGGGGCCGTTTTTAGCAGCGCCGTTGCCACGGTGATGCTATTTAATGTTTAACATTATTTTTTTCTCTCCTCCCCAATAATAAGGGGTGGGGGGGTGGGATATTTTCTTTCCCCCTCTATCTCCCGACTTCAGCATCCGCCGTTGCCACAGAAACGGCTCTGCACTGCGGAGCTGCTCCGTGGCCTATTGACACCGCGAGATGCCACCGGGAGCGGGGGGTCCCCGAGACCCCCGCCCTCCGGGGGGGGACCCTGCGCCCCCATCGCTGTGTGGGGACGGGGAGGGAGGGACAGAGCTGGGGGGGCAGCAGGAGACGTGTCAGCGCGGTGTTTTGGGTGCCCCGAGGTGGATGTTTGGGGGGGGTTCGGTCCCTGGCACCATCCCCTGGGCGCGGGGGGGGGAGTTTGGGGCGGTGCGATGCTGTCCCGCCTGACCCCCGCCCCCCGGCACAGGATGTCCCCACCAAGCTGGTGGCCAAGGCGGTGCCGCTGCCCATGACGGTGCGGGGGCACTGGTTCCTGAGCCCCCGCACCGAGTACAGCGTGGCCGTGCAAACGGCCGTCAAACAGAGCGACGGGGAGTACCTGGTGTCCGGCTGGAGCGAAACCGTGGAGTTCTGCACCGGGGGTGAGCGGGACACGGGCTGCCCGGGGCTGGGAGGGAGGATGGGGGCGATCCCCGGAGCCGGGAGGGAGGATGGGGGACCTCCCGGCAGCCAGGAGGAGAACGGGGACAGTGCTGGGAGCTGGGAGGAGGAGGACGCAGGCAATGCCCGGAGCTGGGAGGAGGATGGGGGCCACCAGGGAGCTGGGAGGAGGATGAGGGCGATCCCAGGAGCCAGGAGGGAGGATGGGGGCGATCCCAGGAGCCAGGAGCTTGGAGGAGAACAGGGGCAATTCTGGGAGCCGGGAGCCAGGAGGGAGGACGGGGGAGGCTCGGAATTGGGAAGATGAGGAGGATGGGGACGCTGGGAGCTGGGAGGAGGATGGAGGCAATGCTGGGAGCCAGAACGAGGAGGGAGTAAAGGAGCAATGCTGGGAGCCAGGACAGAGGAGGGGATTAATGCCTGAAGCTGGGAGCCAGGACAGAGAATGGGGGCCTTCCCAGGAGCCGGGACAGAGGGTGGGGTCAATGCTGGGGGTCAGGAGCCGAGAAGGAGGACGGGGATGATCCTGGGAACTGGGACCTCGGAGGAGAGTGGGGTCAATACAGAGAGCCTGGAGCTGGGAAGAGGATGGGGTTGATGCTGGGAGCTGGGAGGCAGGAGGAGGACGGGGGCAATGCCGGGATGCAGGAGCCTGGAGGAGGACGGGGGCGATGCCGGGAGCTGGCACAAGCCGGGCCGGTTGGAGCGGCAGCTGATGAGTGGGAGGCGGGAGGTGCGGGGAGCTGCGGGCAGGGAAGGGCTGCCGGAGGGGGATGGAGACGCCCTGATGTCCCCATCGCTGCCCCCAGACTATGCCAAGGAGCACCTGGCCCAGCTGCAGGAGAAGGCAGAGCTGATCGCCGGCCGCATGCTGCGCTTCTCCGTCTTCTACCGCAACCAGCACAAGGAGTATTTCCAGCACGTCAGGTACCCCCAGCCCCCATTCCCCACTCCCCCCGCTCCCAGGGCGCACCCCCTGACCCTGCCTGTGCCTGTCTGTGTGTCCCTCCTCCTCCTCTTCCTCCTCCTCCTCCTCCTCGTGCCAGGATGCACTGCGGGAACGTGATGAAGCCGTCGCTGAAGGACAACAGTGGGAGCCACGGCTCCCCCACCAGCGGGATGCTGCACGGCATCTTCTTCAGCTGCAACACCGAGTTCAACACCGGGCAGCCCCCCCAGGACTCGCCCTACGGCCGGTACCGCTTCCAAATCCCGGCCCAGCGCCTCTTCAACCCCAACACCAACCTCTACTTCGCGGACTTCTACTGCATGTACACCGCCTACCACTACGTCGTGCTGGTCCTGGCGCCCAAGGGCTCCTCCGGGGATCTCTTCTGCCGGGAGCGCCTCCCCCAGCTGGACATTTCCTCCAACAAGTTCCTGACGTGCTGCGTGGAGGAGGGCGAGCTGGTGTACCGCCATGCCCAGGACAGCATCCTGGAGGTCATATACACGGAGCCCGTGGACCTCGCCCTGGGCGTGCTGGGGGAGATCAGCGGCCACCAGCTCATGAGCCTCTCCACCGCCAACGCCAAAAAGGACCCCAGCTGCAAGACGTGCAACATCAGCGTGGGGCGTTAAAGGGGGGGGGAGGAGGAGGAGGAGGAGGCGGGCAGGGCCGGGCAGGGGAATGGGCGCCCGCCCCGGGGGCTTCTCCCACGGACACTGGTGGGCAGAGGACGCAGGTGGGCACGAGGAAGGAACCAGTGGGATGCTCGCCCGGCAGGGAGGTGGAGCCCAGCACGCTGCTCTGCGCCCCGAGGGAAGAAGCCTTCATCTCCTGGACTGGCCGACCGGCATCACCCTCGCTGGCGTGAGCCCCGCGCTCTGCCCTTCTCCGCGCAGCCGCTGCGGGACCCCCTTCCCCTCCGGTGTCCCCTGCATCCCCCTGACATCTCCCCGGGTTTGTGCAGCTCCCGGGGAGCCCTGGTCCTGCCAGCCGGGACTGGGGCTCCCTGGCCACCCCAGGGGGTTCAGTGGAGAGGCTGGAAGCGCCCCCGGTTTTGGGCTGCTCCCGGGGACAGCGGGGTGCTCAGACAGGGACCCCCCTCTCCTGCAGTGGAGGCCGCAGCAGTGTGGGGGACCCCTCGTGCTGTCCCCCTCTGCTCTGCCACCCTGTGCTGCCCAAACCGTGGCCCCGGAGGCAGCCGGAGGAGCTGGGGAATAGGGGAGTGGAGCTGAGCCCCCCCACCCCGTGCCCCCCCACCCCGCCGCCCCCCGCATGAGCCGTCGGCAGC